TATATTATTATATATTATATTTATATTTATTATATGTATTTATATTTATATATATATTTATATTCATATTTATATTTATTATATTATAATTATATTTATATAATTATATATTATACAATAATATATTTGTTATAATATTATTAATAATAATAATAATCCAAATTTTAATCATTTAGATACAAAGAAACCTAAAAAAAACCTACCCTTACAAAAAAAAAGAAAAAAATCCTTTTCATTTTCAATTAGGTAAAAAGTTTAAAAAGAACATTTTTTCACTTAAAATATTTACCAAAAAGTAGAGTATATAATAGTAGAGTAAAAGTAGTAGTAGTAGTAGTAGTAGAGGAGTAATAGTAGAGTAGTATAGAGTAAAAATAGTAATAGAAGTAGTAATCTTTTGCTAAAAAAAGAAGAATCAACTCGTGCATGATGTTCATCCTCCTTCCTAACACAAAAAAAACGGAACGCAAAAAATGAATAGAAAAATAGAAAAAGAAAAGGAGAAGAAAAATAGACAGAAAAATAGTAAAAAAAAGAAGAGAGAGAGAGAGAGAGAGAGAAATCAGGATCAGGAAAATCAGGAAAAAAAAGAAACAGAAAAAAAACACAAACAAAAAAAGAAAGAAAGTGTATGTACACGTGAACACATATATGCACATCGACAACAACGTACAACACAACGCACATATATCGTATAAGTATGCGTTATTTTTTTTCCCCACATACATACATACATACATACATACACACACATACTTATTTACGTACTTCCGATATCTGGAAAAGAATGGAAATACTCTTTTAAGAATGATAGGAGAGTAGTAGGTAGTACAGAGTGAGTGCCTTCTCGAATAAAAACGAAAAATATTCCTTCTTCGATAAAACCGTCGAGACTTTTTCCACCCTTCGTCCCTCTCCTCTACTACCCTCTATTTTTTTTTCTTCTTCCTATTTTTTATTTTTCTTCGGATGAGAGCTTTTTTTTTTTTATCTCCTTACTCCTCTTTTTCTTTTTTTTTTTTTATCGGCGTCACACGTTTGACATTCCATTCCAATTTGAGTTTCCCTCTTTCCAACACGAAGAAATTCCTTCCTTTCGTTTCCTCTTTCTTTCTTCCTTCTTCTTCTTCTTCTTCTTCTTCTTCTTCTTTGACTTTCTATATTTCCTTTCCTTTTTCCTATTTTTCTTTTTCTACTACGGTCGGGTTCACGTGTCAAGTCTTGTTTTTTAGACAGACAGCTTCCTCCACTTCACAACTTTTTCTTCTTCTTCTTCTACTACTACTATGTTAGTAGATTTTTATATTTCCAGAAAAAAAAACCAGAATATTATATCAACCTATATGTATATTTGTATGTATGTATGTATGTATGTATGTATGTATGTGTATTCAATCATGCGTATATTTGTTTGTACATATTATACTTTTACTTAACGAATTTAAGCTACTATTTTAAATACCTTTACTACCTGTTACCTGCCCAGTAAGTAACCACAACCCAAACTCTATTATCTCTGTTCATTCTTACCTGTACATATAGGGGACATTTACAAAAAAAACTTTCACCTTTTATAAAATAACGAATGTCGTATATTTGTTAATATTATACTTTAACGAATTTATGGTACTATTTTATACGCCTTTACTACCTGTTACCTGTCCAGTAAGTAACCACAACCCAAACTCCTATAATCGCTGCTCGTTCTTACCTGTATATAGGGGACATGTACAGAAAAACTTTCAGCTTTAATAAAATAACGAAAGTTTGGTCGTCTTGGGCTTTTGCGCTATTATACACATTGTTCGATTATTTTTCTTCTTAATTCGAGAGGGGCAGGAGGGTGGTGGGGGTAGGAGGCAGGAGGGGGCAGGGGCAGGGGGGAGGGGGAACACGGATATGGAAATTTGTACGTTTTATGTTGCAGGATATCACGCGATACAGAAATATGTTCACGTTTTTTAATTCACGTGATATAAGCGTGAGATGAGTAATATTATACATGTGTGAGTTTATTTGGTATGTATGTATATGTGTATGTATGTATCGTTACGACTTCTTGGCCTTCAAAACGTTTAAGAGAGACATACTTGATAAGCACTTTTTTTTTCTTTCTTCCGATAGTCAGTAAACTTGAAGACGAGTCTCAAGTAAAACGCGTTGTTTCATCGTCTTACGTATTATTTATTCGTTAAAGTTTTGTTTGTTTGTTCATTAAACAATATATATATATATATATTATAGTGATTTATTTTGGATTAATTAATTAATCTGGAACATATATAGAACGAAAATTATAATTACG